ATTTTTTCCCTTTCATTTTTGTGAGTGTGTATTGTTATAGGTTTTAATTGTATATTTATTTATTGTTTTAACGTGTTGTGGGCCGCCCAGAGTCCCCCATTGGGGGGAGATGGGCGGGGGACAAATTTAATAAATAAAATAAATAAACAAACAAACTGGAAGAGATGATATGATACATCATCTGGTTAGTTTCATCTGGTCAGCAGAGAAACTGACCATCCTAAAGGATCTAGAATAGAAATATTTTAGCAAAATTGTAGGTGGGGTTTCAGGAGAGGAAGATTTGGTAAATTTTGTTCAGTCTGTCCAGGTGCCACAGAAAATGTAATTAGGTTAATGTAACAGATAAGCTAGTAAAATCTTTTAGTATTTTTCTACTAGATCTCACACAGAGTTATTAATAATCTGCAGAATTATTATTTATTCAATTAATTTATTTATTAAACCAATTTATATAGCCGCCCATCTCATCACAGGCAACTCTGGGTGGTGTACAACAAAGCTAAAAATAGTCAATGAATACATTAAAAATATAAAAATGAAAATAGAACAGAGAATAAAAGGATGTTAAAAATAAAGGAGCCACCTCACTAATTCCCGTGTCCTCTGGGGCCCCCAGGCTAGCATAACCAAGTCATAAAGGTCTTCCAGAAGCTCAACGACAAGGCCAATTCCACCTCGGGGGGAGAAGATTCCACAGCGCAGGTGCTACAGCAGAAAAGGCTTGCTGCCTAGGGCCCGCCAAATGTAGCTCCCTAGGTGACAGAACCCATAACAAGCCCCTTCTGCTGGATCTGGTAGGACGGGCAGATGAAATAGGGGAGAGGCAGTCCCTCAGATAGCAAAGCCCCACATCATGAAGGGCTTTAAAGGTCAACACCAACACCATGAATTGGACCCAGAAACAAACTAGTAACCAATGCAGCTCGTGAAGCAGAGGTGTAACGTCCGTTCTACTAGAAACACACATAATTGCGCTGCTGCATTTTGTATCAGCTGAAGTTTCCGGATACTCTTCAAGGGCAGCCCCATGTAGAGCACCATTATAAAGGGGAACTAACCTACTTACTTACTAACCTAAAGAAATGGGCATTTTTAAAATCAAGCCGATGCTTAATTTCTATAAGTTTTTTTTTTAAAGCAGTTTAATAAAACTAATTGTTTAGAATCAGAATTTGGGTTGAACAAAGATCCTGCAATATCAGACTAGTTAAGCCACACAGTTTAACAAAAACCTAGCACAGAAACCACACACATCATGGCAAAATAATGGCAAAGCAAATAGCTTTAGATAATTTAAGTAAGGAATGGAAATCTATTTTTCTAAAGCAAATAAAACATATTTAGTACTATTCTAAAAATAGAAAGAATCCTTTGGTTTGATGCACTTGTATTTTTATAGGTTCAAAATACCTCATTTATCCCTAAAATTTGAAGTGCTACTTATGGTAATTCATTGAAGAATAGCTTGCCTCAATTAGGCTACCATAAAATAATGCATGATTCTGAGGAAGCTCAGAATCAGGTAATGTACTCCTTTGGATTATACTGTAGTATATGGGACAAAGCCAAATATTATTGTATACAGTGCTTACATCACCATTCTATGCTTAATTAAGAGCTTACTCCCAAGCATTTATAAAATTATGTCCATAATCAAAATCTATGATCATTCTGTGAACTGTGCCAGTGTTACTCATTTTAACATATTTTAGCATGCTTCACTAATGTGGCACAAAAAATGACAATACTGATCTAAGTGAGGATTATAAACCCAAGAGAACATAGATCAATTTGCAGATATTGATTTCAGTATTATTAGTCTCAATGAAATCCTTCATTTCAATATGCATTCTGATGTGAATAAAAATAAATCAAGAGCTTCAGAGAAAGGGTGATGTGATTTTGATGTTCTTAGGAACAAAGCCTGGCTAAGTATGTGGTTCTCTGGTATTATCACAGTATTATTCCATTTGGCTATGACCACACAGTACATAGCAAAAAATAAAGTAATATATAGAAGTTCAAGTGAAGGGTTGTACTTAAAAACAATAATGTATTATTGACTTTTGTTAGGTAAAATGTCTTTATAACAATGTATCATGGATCCTTCAGAACATAAATTGTTATAACATTGTTCATGCCAGCTTTTGAACAATTAGATCAGTTCCAAGACAATGAGTTCTTACCCTCAAGTCAATCACTCTGTTGTCCAATCTTGTATCCTGGTTTACTGTAGCTCTTCCTTCCTGAATAGTTGCAAAGAAACATATACTGAAAACCACATGTACTAACTAATTAAAATCTCATGAGATTTCGCAACATTTCAGGTGAAAGAGACTGCACTACATTTCAGCATTCTCACGAGATTTTGGCCATCTGAAATTTTTAAAACTGAAAAAACCTCATGTCTAAGATTGCACAATGGCACTTAATGCTTCTGACACTTGCCTCAGACATTTCTTTCTTAGCTTTTAAGAGTATTCCAAGCCTAAACCTTCCTTTTACAATCACTGTCCTCTGGACTATATTCAGAACATTTCATATGGTTAGTTTTGCCATCACTTTAATTTTAGGGAAACTAGTACTGTACTGCCTTTTCTGAGGTTGCTGTCTGAACACACATATACATACAAGAAAATTCAGATATAAGTTTTCCCGTAAGATTAACCAAGTCCCCTATGAAGTGAGATTTCTGTTCAGAAGGGCCATTCTGAACATGACTTTACAGATAAAATTGTCCTTATTAATCTAACTCCTGTTCAGTTTATAGAGTGACAGTAATTATGAGAACATTTCCATGTACCATGAGATAGAAATGGTATAACTATTATGCATTTAATAGTTATTTATAACTATTGATGCATAAAATCTTGGTCTATCAGACGCTGCTTAAGGACAGGTACCCAGCAGTAAAAATTATTTTCCATATTTATGAACTAGAAAGCAGATAATGTTGGATGGGGCCAACATTTAGGATTCAATATAACATTATTAACAGCAGCTAAAGTTTCAAGCCTTTGGCTAACCATTTATTATTTTTAATACAATGTTACTTATCTAGAAAACACATTTTCACCTCTTCTCCTTCAACCTCTGGCCGAATAGCATCATCCAGCTGCAAGGGCAGTCGCGGTTCAGCCAAACTGATTACGTATATCTGAGAGAGAGACCATTTATAAATAAATAAATGTGCTGCAGGAACTATAGTGTGATTCAGAGAGGCATGTTTTTGGTAGAAATATGAAAACAAGTTTCCATAACCGATTACTAAAAGAGTATAGAGGTCTAAAAAAATGAAGTATACATTTATTTGATTAATGTTCATATTTATACTAGAAATGTTTAATAAAAACATAGCACTTTTAAAATAAGATCCAACAAACTTTATTATAAAAGATATTAACCCAACTTAATATCTTAAAATAATGGGCCTGAAAGAACTGAGTTGTCTTGAAAATACAAAATCAGTTTCGGTTACAGCAAAATCCAACAGATAATACAG